CTCCGAGGCTCCGTCAAGGAGGGTGTGGCGGTCGACGAGTCCCGGCTCCCTGAACGTGTCGCACAGACGATGGGTGTCGGCGCTGGTGCATGAGGTCCAGAGGCGCCACGCGTCCTTGACGGTCGTTGCAGTCCGCCAAGGCTGCACTACGTTCAGCTCGTAGCTAGCCTCCTCGACCGTCTGTGGGGGTTTATTGGGTTTGTTGGCTCCTTCACCCCTGCTTGCCGGCTCCGCGGAGCCACCGTTGCTCGGCGACTGGTCGTTCGCAGCTGGCGGCGCCTCCGGCATCCTTCGAGCTTCTGAAACGCGGAGAGCCTCGGTGAGGCGGGTTATCTCGGCCGCGAGCGAGGCGATGGTTGCGTCGCAATTCTCGATCTTCTCCTCGAGGTCGAGCTTTTGGACCGTTGACCGCTCCCTCTCGAGCTTAAGCGTCTCCGTGAGGGAGACGACCGCGTACTCGGCGTCATGGCGGACCGATATCTCCTACAATGGTAGGCGAATAACGGTGCAGATGAGGGGTTGTAGCGGTCATAGATCACATCGCGATGTCGACATAAAGGATGACCTACCTCTGGCTGGATGAGGGTTGGATCTTGCCGCTTTTTGATGGTGTCAGTGTCGGTCTTCTCAACCCTCTTCGCCCAGTGCTGGAAGAGGGGAATCCGGCAGAGCTTGGAATACTGGACGTACGGGTGCCAAGAGGTGAGGACGAGTTTCACCACGAGGTCCTTGGCGACAATGCGGCGGAACATCACACGGGTGCGCCAGAAATGCACGGCCGCAATGTCGTCGTTGGACCCCTTCTTCGCGAGTTCTTCTGCCTGCAGTTAGACATTAGACGTGGGTTATTGCCGTGGTGGATTGGACAGTACCATGCAAGCTTGGTCGGCACTGATAAACATACCTTCTTGAGGAGGTCGTCGACGCCGGGGAAGATGTGCTCGGCGATGAGAGCGAGGAGTTCGTCTCCCGGTTCCACCCTGCTGCGACCCAAGAAGTAGTCCTGCGTGAATCCCGAATAGCCGGCCTTCTTCATCACCACGCTGATGGGAATGGCTGTGATGTAGGCTCGAATCATCTTGTCAAGAGCCCAGTGACCCAGCTCGGCTATCTCGGCGCGAGGCGTACCGTGGATGGCCAACTCCTGCGCCCCGCATGCCCGAGCGGCATGGACGTTCCGCTTGCAGAACACCCCTCTCGTCTTCCACATCTGCCTCGTCCATCGCTGGTGGCTGGGAGCTAAGAGTTTGCCTTGCTCGGGGTCGTTGCGGGCGAAGAACAGGTGCTTCTTGTACCAGAGCTCGCATGTGCTGGTGTTGACCTGCGGAATGAGGTCGATGCCGTGAAACTGGCCGATCTGGTCGAGGACGAAGTGTAACCACAGCCCGGTCTCGCCGACGGCGCACAACTCCGCTTCGAGGTGCCGCGCCACGTAGCTCCGTTGAAGACGCGCATCCTTCGACGTCTTCAAGTTCCACGCGGCGACCACCATGACGACCGGCTGGTTATCCGGGTTCACCGACGAGGTGCTCGCCAGTCGGTACAGGAAGATGTCGGGGAGCGTTATCTTGCGGATGCTTGCACCGCGCATGAGGCTGTGATGGGAGAGCAGCGTGAGCACCTTGACGAGAAGAAACCTCCACAGCGTCTACGAAGGTGTGGTGAAATGCGGGCTCCATGCCGACGCCGCCCAAGCCGGCAGCACCCTCGTCATGATCTGGCGGAACTGTTCGGCGGTGTATGTGTCGCCGATGGTGCCGCGTCGACGGTCGGCGCAATTACTGTCGACATAACAATATAGGGATATGAATATTAGGGTGAGGAACACAAATCGATGGCGACATAACACGGCGATGCATGCCAACTTACTTGATGTCCCTCTGATTTTTCGTGCGGACCATGACCCGCACCTCCAATCGGACCACCAAGATTTCCCGCATGATGCCCAACTCCTTCTCCTTGTAGAGCGTCGCCTCCACCCTCGCCGCCATCTGGCAGGCCTTGATGCGGCCGAGGATCATGTGCACCGTGTAGGCTTGCACTGGCGCGTTTGTTTCGGCGTCGATCTTGTACTCCCGCCTCATGAACTTGATGTAGGCGCGCAGCCGTGTAATAGTGACCCCGGGGCCGTGCAGCCATATGTGCTTCCGCTTGACCACCTTCTCGTTGTCCCAATCCTTGCTCTTGTTGTTGTGTGTCCAGTGCCCTATCTCGTCGACGTGCCTCGTTTGTTCTACTGTCGGCAGTTTGTCGCCTTTTTTTTTAAGCATCTTCGCCGCCCACCTTTTGTAGTCGTATATCCATGAGGTGTAGGACTTGAGCGTGCTCTTGGCCTCTATGGTTTTCAGGTGGCGCATTGCCTCCATCACGAGCACGTCGACGCACGCGTACACCATATCTTCCTCTACGAAGTCGGCCGCCTTCCACATTTCTCGAAGGACCGACGTGTTCAACAGATCCTCAAGCTCGTCCTCGTCCAATAATTCCGCTATGAACGCACGTTCCCCCCTGAGTTTTTCTTCCAATGTGCGTGGACCTGCACCACGTCGGGGCCGCGGGTCGTCTTTTTCGTCCTCGTCGCTCGTCGATGAATAATCTTCCTCATCCTGGTCGCCCGATCCGTCCGGCACAGACGACGGCCCGGCCTCCTCTGCATCCGTCGGCGTTGACGTTTTGCGTGGTTTCGTGAACTCCCCTATGGGCGCGGGCGGAACGTCCTTGGTGAACTCTCCCTGCAGGATCTGGGCCAGGGCGTCGAGATCGTAAAGCAACGGCAAAGTCGACGAGGGGTTACTGGTTGGTGTACGGTCTACCGGGCGGACATCCTCACCCTGGCTAGCGGGGAACGGAACGTCCGTCATGTCGACATCGGTGGGCGGTGGGTTGGTTTGCGGCGGTGTCGATCAAGGCTGTCCTCTGGCCATGATACGGCGACCTAGGGTCTGGCGATGGGAAGTCGGCGTGGTGAGGTCGATAAACTACTACATGCGTATTCTATGTCGGCGGTTTCACGCAGGTCGGCACAGTAGACAATCCTACAAGACATCGGCGACCACGTCTGCCTACTCTAACGACGCCGACGTTACGCGTCCAGAAAAAATCAAAGTGCCAGCCGTCAAGTCAATGGTAAAAAAAAGGCTAAGTGCCAGCTTACGGATGGAACGCACACAGAATGGCAGGCAGAATGAGCGACCATTACGGGGACCACGGATGGGTATGGTCGTGAGCAACACCGAACCACTTGGCGCTCCACGCAAACCCCAGTGCAGGACGCCGCCATGCATGTACGCTCGTGCTGCGGCGCCGTGTCCGACGTATGACCAGGCGTGCAAGGCTGCTTGCTTGAAGCGCTTCGCTCATCATGCTCTTTTCGTGGCTGCTACACGCTGGCTCTTTCGTGCGGCACGTGGCGTGGTCCCGAATAAGGTGCAGCGCAGTAGCTCGAGGGTGGGAGACACTGCCGAGTGGCACCACGATGATGCTCTTCTGGTCGACGCCGACATTCCCGCAGCCTCAGTGTCCACTGCACATAGCCATAGATAGTGGACGGCCGGATTTTGCCTTGCGCATGTGGACAACCGTTGGATGAATGCCGTGTGGTATGCACCGACCTTGCCATGTTCCCGCGCGAAAATCTCCCACGCGAACCACCCCGACCTTCCATTGGCCCGTCGTGTCCAACCTGGTAGACCTCGGTGGCCCCGCCATCCAGGGGACTATCTCGGGCGTCCCTTTGTGGCCGCGTGGCGATCATCGTGGCCCGACTTGCCGAGCTGGGATTGTGACACGCGGTTGAGACGTCCTTCTCGGGATTGTCTCAGCGGAACCCTAGGTCGACAGGTCGTCCACCATCTAGAGGGCTCACCAGCACCGGGCCCAACCAGATAGCCTGGGCTTTCCATGCGGAGGTCGTCGCGGGGTCGTCAACGCCGAGGAGGGGGGTTGTCCGTTCTGAACCGCGAAAATGGGCGGCAATTTTCGTCCGCTGAGCTCTATTATGCTGAAGGTACCAGCGGAATTCGGTCGACGGACCCGAATTGCCAGGGTCTATGAGGGGGGTCGACGGACAGGGGTGTGACGAGGCGAGCAAGTGACGCGCGTGCGGGCCCGCCAGCCTGGCCTAGGGCTGGGCTGAGCGCACGACCGCCGCCTCGCAACCCCCCATCGAAAGTGAACAGCGACCCACGTTACCGGGTGGGGGCGGCGAGTTGGCGAGACCTCAGGCAAGGGAAAGTAACCCTGCCGTGAAGGCAGCCCACCCCTCCCTCGTGCCCGCGAGGTCCTAGTAACCCATCGCGGCCTGCCCGTACGGGCAGGCGAGGTCTATGCGAAAATCGGGGGCTCCCCTCGGGTCGCTCGACTATTTCGCGACCCGTTGCGGTGACGCCACGTTCTCGCCCGTCATTTCGCATTGTATGCATGCAACATTTCGTACCCGCCAAAATTCGAGCAAAAACTGGGTCGTTCGCCCCACGGCGCACGGTTTTGGCGACCCACTGCGAAATCGACACGTGGTGCCGAAACGTCGCACCGCGCGCATGCGAAGTTGCGTCCCCTGGCTGACCGAGGCCAGGGGACGTGACATCGACCTGTTGGCTCCGCGGCGAGGGTGCACTTGTGCCACGCCACTTGTGCATGAGCCCTGCCGAGCCAGGCATCACGGCCCCCTGGGCGACGCTCAACCGGGCCTGCGTGGAGGTGGACTGGCCCCTCATTTTTGCGTTCTCGTTTCTCTTTCATTTTTTCTCCAAGCTCTGCGCCTTCCATACTCCCACCGTTTCTTCCCTTAGCTTGTAGCATAGCATCCTCGCTCTCCCGCCTTGGCGGCCGGCCAGAAAGCCGCCGAAGCGGCGCCGACCTCGCTAGATTTCCCCCTGCATCTAGACATCGGTAGAGGACACACGGCCAAGTTCGAAGCCGTCCGAAGACGAGGTGCAGGCGAGGCTCGCCGACTGCGACGAACCCCTTCGAGATGTGAGTTCCGGACGATTCGCCGTCATATGGTGTCACATCTACGCCGCCCTAATCCTTGCGCTCTGCACTGTTGTATGCAGAAAGTTCCCGATACCGTCCGGGACTCGGACGCGGGCTCCGGCCTGCTAGCAATGAGCGCGTTGATCTGGGTTGTGAGGCGGTTCCATCTCCTGACCGGCGACCTCCGTCGCATTGCCACTAGGATGGACAAGCCCACTGTCTCGGGGTTGAAGGCGCTGCGGAACGAGATGGTAGCCCTCATCAAGAAGCAAGTCCCGCTCATACGGTCGGGGAAAATCGTTGTTGCTGCCAACGCCTCTGACGACGACGGCGAGGAAGTCCATTCTGCATCCGTAGTAGTAGGGGTCGCCCCGAACGTCGCTGATGCGCGTGGCAAGTCGGGAGTTGGCGTCGACGAGGCCGATGCGGCCGCAGGAAAGGGGGTGACCGGGACTAAGGTTGTTCACGGGGATGATGATGGGGTCAAGGATCGCGAGGAGGAACGTTAGGGTGAGGGGGGCTCAGAGGAGTCGATGGGGTCGAGGTCAGGGTCGGGGTCGGAGTCGGAGTCGGAGGAGGAGCAGGAGCAGGAGCAGGAGATGCAGGAGCACGAGAGGCAGCACCAGGAAGAGCAGTTGGTAGAGGTGGAGGACGTGGAAATGGCGGAGGGGTACGTTGTTGGAGGAGCGGAGGAAACGGGTGGGAGATCGGCGGATGTCGAGAACGACGAAGGGGAGGGGAAGGGTGCGACAGCGGATCTCGGCAAGGTCGGCGTGGAGGCGGCTCACGGAGGTGGTGGCACGGTCGAGGTCGGTGAAGGGGATAACGCCGCGGTCTCGAAGCAGAGGGGCGTGGATGTGCATACCGATGCCACCGCGGAGAAGGCCGGGGGGGAGCGGTCTAGGAGGAAGAAGGCGGCGAGCGATCATCCCGGCTCCACCACGGCTGGGTGGCAGGCGCGGCTGGACGTCGTCGATCAGCTGAGAGCGGAGAACAGGCGATTGCGTGCAGACAATGCACGCCTTGAACGGCAGCTCGGTGAGCAGACGGGGCGGGTCGACAGCTTTGCGGCGGCATTAGCTGGGCTCCTCGAGAAGGTGAAGGGTTTGACCGCCCAGGTCGCCGACACCGACCGGAAATCGGAGGAGCGCCTCAAAGAGGCCACGTTGACCATGGTGACCACAATCACCGAGGGCCTCATCGACAACATGGACAGCGCAATTCAATCAGCCAAGTCCTTCGCCGAGCTAGCGAGGCAGATGCTGCTGGATCTTGACGACCCCAAGGGACGAGCATCGGTCGCACGCGCGACCGCGGTGAAGACATTGACCGAGCACGTGACGGCTGAGGTGGGCGAGGCGAGGAAGGGGTTGGAGGAGTCGTTCATCAAATACATCGGCGCCGCGCAGACCAACATTGCCGCCGCCTAGTCCAGCCGCCGCCGCCGACCGCCCCAGCGCAGGCCTTGCCGGAAGATTTCCTGAAGTCTTTCAAGGAGGACGTGCTGAAGGCGGTGACGGAGACCACGCAGCAGTCCTTTCTCGCCTCCGGACTGAAGATAATGACCGAGGTCGTCGGCACAATGGCGACTGCTCGGTGTGGGTCGTCGCCGTCGGCAAACGATGCCGGCCAAGCGCAACCTACGGAGGGCTTGAAGCTGGGTCACAAGAAGGGGGGAGGCGGCGGGGGGGGGGGGGCGACGGGGACAATTTGGCGAAAACGAAGCGGAGCAAGGGAGGCGGGGGGTCTCGCGTCGCCGGCGACGGGAGCAAGGGGGCCGAAGAAGGAGGCGGTTGGGGGGGGGGGGGGGGGGGGGGTGGGGGGGCGGAGACGATTCGGCGGGCGCGAGGCGGACCAAGGGAGCGGTTGGTTCTCGCGTTGCCTGCGATGGGAGCATGGGAGCCGGCAACGGCAGTTCGGGGAAGCAGTCGGGGAAGAGCGTGGTCGACATCCTCAGGAAGCACTGGGCTGAGATTGGAGCGGCCAGCACGGGCCATGGTGGTGGGGGTCCTGCCGACGAGCATGCCACTGATGACGCACTGCCAATGGCTCCGCCTTCGGTCGCCGTTAAGCCACCACGACAGGGTAGCGGTGAGAAAGGGCTGTGCGACAAGGAGAAGGCCGTCGCCAAAACGGCCCCAAGCGGGTCCGCGAAAGCTAGCCAGGGCCCAAAGACAGGGGTTGCGGAGGCGTCAGCGGTTCCTCACCAGTCTCCCGCGGGTGCACGCCATCCGACCGAACCGTCTGCCGGGAAACCTGCCGACGTCCCGCGCCATGCCGACGTACGGTCTGCCAACTAGGTTGGCCGCGCAGGAAAAGGGGCAGCAGTTGCGGACGCGCTCAAGGAGCAGCTCAGGCTCCTAGCCGGCCACAGGGCTGTTCAACAGCCTCCCTCTGCTGTCGACGTCCCATCGGTCAGTGTGCCACGTGTAGTGCCGGTCGTCGCCGCCCGTACTCCTGCAGACCCAAAGTCCGCGTTGCTGCGCGCTTGGCTGGGCGCAGTAGCGTAGACTGCGAGGACTCAGCACGCTTCTGGCTCTGGCGCTAAGCCGTCGTTGGCGAATGTCGCACCACCCACCCATGTGGCAGCTGATGTGGAGAAGGCGGCGGAGAAGGGCGTTCGTGCCGCGCTTGCCACCGGCGGCGGCGCCGTTGAGGAGGTTCGCGCAGACGCTGATATCGCAGCCGTACAGGCCCATCTGGATGCAGCCAATCCCTGAACCCTGGCCATCTCCGACACGGCACATGTGGAGCCTTCGGCGGGACTCGTTGGCATCGCGGCAGAGCCTAGTGCAACCGGTGATGCGGTCGGTGAAGGAAAGTCGAAACGGAAGGGGAAGGCGGGCTCATAGAGGAAGACGCGGGAGAATTCGGAGGTGAAGGCGGCGGATAAACAGAAGGGGACGGCGGCGGAGACGGCGGCGGACAAAGATGGAGGCGGCCTTGCGGAGGTTGAAGGGAAAGGGGAGAATCAGGAGAAGTCGCCCGACGAGGGTACGTCGACGGGGAGGAAGGGGAAGGACAATTCGGTCGGAGAAGGTGCGTCGACCGGGAGAAAGGGGAAGGAGAAGGCGGTCGGCGAGGGTTCCTCGAAGGGGAGAAAGGGAAAGAGGAAGGCGGAGGAGGAGGATGATGATGTCGAGGAGGTGGAGGAGGTCGAGTAGGAGGAGGAAGAAGAAGAAGAGGAGGAGGAGGAGGAGGAGGAGGAGGAGGAGGAGGAGGAGGAGGAGGAGGAGGTGGAGGAGGAGGGGAAGGGCAAGGAGAGGAGGGGTCATGGCATCCGACACGATACCTCGGGCGACAAGCAAGGGTGGGTCGGCAAGATTAAGGTGCATGGCATCAATCGATACATCGGCAAGTCGCGGGACAAGATGGAGCTCGCGTACGTTCACTCCATCGCGTACGTCGTCTACGACGGTTTCGTGAGCAAGGTGCTCATGACCGAGCTCACCGGCTTGGACAGCGCCGAATTGGAGAGGTGGAAGGAGGTGTGGGAGGAGGTCAAGATCTTGCCGACAGAGATGTGGACAGTGATGTGGGCCCGGGGTACGCTCCTTCCAAAGACACGGTAAGTCGGCAATCCTCCGATCCAAAGTCGACGTCATTGTCGTTGTCACTAATGTTCGCCCTGTTTGTGGTGGCGTGACAGGTTGACTGAGATCCTCGACGCGTATCGCCATTACAAGTCCACAGGCGATGGTCTCCGCGCCGCGCTCCTGCCAGCGATATGGTACTTAGTCGATGCTAGCACCGAGGAAGGCCAGGAGACGTCGGCGATAATAGGCCGCGTGTCATTGTGCGCTGCGTATGGGAAGACTGCTGCGGTAGCGGCAAAGAAGGAGGGAGACAAGGAGGAGAAGACGGATATGGCGGCATGGGCGTTAGCAGCATCCGCATGCGCTGTGTAGTGCTTCGTTGAGAACGGCGATGCCCAGCTGGCGGATGCTGTGGAAGAAGGGAAGTCGGCGGCGATCATCGGCGGAGCGAGCCAGGCGACCGCCGATGTATTCAGAAAAGTCATGGAGGCGGTGCTGAACGCCGAGATGAACAGGGACCGCCCCCTGGGAGAGGTTGCTTACAACGTCGCGCCAGCACTCCAGAGGACCGCCCTTCATAGGGTCTATCTGGGGGGGAATGCTGGAGTAGATGCCGACGTTATTGCTAGAGCGACGGTTGAGACGATGGCGTTTTGGGGAATGTGCCCCGTCGCCGGGCCGAAAATCAGAGCGAGGGAGATCGCGGTGCCGATTGACGCGTAGATGAAGGCCGATCTTGACAACAGGGGGAGGAAGGGTCTGAGGGGCAAGAAGGGGACGAAGGCCAAGGGCGGCACGGGGAAGAAGGGCAAGAAGGCGAAGAAAGACAGCACGACGGCCTAGTCGACGGCTTGCTAGGATTGAGTGTTGCGTGGACTCGGTGCTGCTATGGTCGATATCATTTTGTTTATTTCGGCTGTCGGATCCCTTTGATGCTCGTTGTTTGTGTTTCTTTGTGTGCGTGCCTGTCTACTTTACGTAGGATGAGTAATGAACACATTAGCTAGTAATGATTGTCTTCTTCAGTTAGAACGACACGTGAATGCGCCGCTAGGCCAAGAACAATAGGATCATTGTGAGAAACAAAAAGTCGACATCAGTATCAGTAAGAAACATAGGCATGATGCATCAACATCTACAACATGCAACAGCCCACAGTAGCAGGAGGCCTGGGAACATTCACGCGGTCTTCTTGCGCTTGGTCGACTTATGGGTCAGAGGCAGCTGCCCGGCGTTGTTTTCGCGGGCCAGGTCGGCCAACGTCTTCTTCATCTGCTCAACCCAGGTGTCCGGGAACAGGTTGGCGACCCATGTTTCGGGCTTGAACCCGCGCGCCACGAACGCACGGGCGGCACGAAGCTTGGAAACTTCCATCTTGCCGAGCCCTTTGACGCCCTTACCCTGCCCGGCATAAGTCGCTACGGCGTCCGCTTTGAGCACCGTGAGGGCATCCGCGAAGGTCCCAATACGAGGCGCAGCTATCTTGTTAAGCGCATCGACGGTGGCTTCCGTGTCGGCTTCGAGCGAGTTATCTCGGCCACGAGTGAGGCGATGGTTGCGTCGCAATTCTCGATCTTCTCCTCGAGGTCGAGCTTCTCGACCGTTGACCGCTCCCTCTCGAGCTTAAGCGTCTCCGTGAGGGAGACGACCGCGTACTGGGCGTCATGGCGGACTGGTATCTCCTGCAATGGTAGGCGAATAACGGTGCAGATGAGGGGTTGTAGCGGTCATAGATCACATCGCAACGTTGACATAGAGGATGACCTACCTCTGGCTGGATGAGGGTTGGATCTTGCCGCTTTTTTATGGTGTCGGTGTCGGTCTTCTCGACCCTCTTCGCCCAGTGCTGGAAGAGGGGAATCCGGCAGAGCTTGGAATACTGGACGTACGGGTGCCAAGGGGTGCGGACGAGTTTCACCGCGAGGTCCTCGGCGACAATGCGGCGGAACATCACAAGGGTGCGCCAGAAATGCACGGCCGCAATGTCGGCGTTGGACCCCTTCTTCGCGAGTTCTTCTGCCTGCAGTTAGACATTAGACGTGGGTTATTGCCGTGGTGGATAGGACAGTACCATGCAAGCTTGGTCGGCACCGATAAATATACCTTCTTGAGGAGGTCGTCGACGCCGGGGAAGATGTGCTCGGCGATGAGAGCGAGGAGCTCGTCTCCCGGTTCCACCCTGCTGCGACCCAAGAAGTAGTCCTGCGTGAATCCCGAATAGCCGGCCTTCTTCATCACCACGCCGATGGGAATGGCTGTGATGTAGGCTCGAGTCATCTTGTCGAGAGCCCAGTGACCCAGCTCGGCTATCTCGGCGCGAGGCGTACCGTGGATGGCCAACTCCTACGCCCCGCCTACCCGAGCGGCATGGACGTTCCGCTCGCAGAACACCCCGTTCGTCTTCCACATCTGCCTCGTCCATCGCTGGTGGCTGGGAGCTGAGAGTTCGCCCCGCTCGGGGTCGTTGCGGGCGAAGAACAGGTGCTTCTTGTACCAGAGCTCGCGTGTGCTGGTGTCGACCGGCGGAATGAGGTCGACGCCGTGAAACTGGCCGATCTGGTCGAGGACGAAGTGTAACCACAGCCAGGTCTTGCCGACGGTGCACAACTCCGCTTCGAAGTGCCGCGCGGCGTAGCTCTGTTGAAGACGCGCATCCGTCGATGTCTTCGAGTTCCGCGCGGCGACCACCATGACGACCGGCTGGTTATCCGGGTTCACCGATGAGGTGCTCGACAGTCGGTACAGGAAGATGTCGGGGAGCGTTATCTCGCGGATGCTTGCACCGCGCGTGAGGCTGTGATGGGAGAGCAGCGTGAGCACCTTGACGAGAAGAAACCTCCACAGTGTCTGCGAAGGTGTGGTGAAATGCGGGCTCCATGCCGATGCCGCCCAAGCCGACAGCACCCTCGTCATGATCTGGTGGAACTGTTCGGCGGTGTATGTGTCGCCGATGGTGCCGCGTCGACGGTCGGCGCAATTACCGTCGACATAACAATATAGGGATATGAATATTAGGGTGAGGAACACAAATCGATGGCGACATAACACGGCGATGCATGCCAACTTACTTGATGTCCCTCTGATCTTTCGTGCGGACCATGACCCGCACCTCCAACCGGACCACCGAGATTTCCCGCATGATGCCCAACTCCTTCTCCTTGTAGAGCGTCGCCTCCACCCTCGCCGCCATCTGGCAGGCCTTGATGCGGCCGAGGATCATGTGCACCGTGTAGGCTTGCACTGGCGCGTTCGTTTCGACGTCGATCTTGTTCTCCCGCCTCATGGACTTGATGTAGGCGCGCAGCCGTGTAATAGTGACCCCGGGGCCGTGCAGCCATATGTGCTTCCGCTTGACCACCTTCTCGTTGTCCCAATCTTTGCTCTTGTTGTTGTGTGTCCAGTGCCCTATCTCGTCGACTTGCCTCGTGTGTTCTGCTGTCGGCAGTTTGTCGCCTTTTTTTTTAAGCATCTTCGCCACCCACCTTTTGTAGTCGTATATCCATGAGGTGTAGGACTTGAGCGTGCTCTTGGCCTCTATGGTTTTCAGGTGGCGCATTGCCTCCATCACGAGCACGTCAACGCACGCGTACACCATATCTTCCTCTACGAAGTCGGCCGCCTTCCACATTTCTCGAGGGACCGACGTGTTCAACCGATCCTCAAGCTCGTCCTCGTCCAACAGTTCCTCTATGAACGCACGTTCCCCCCTGAGATTTTCTTCCAATGTGCGCGGACCTGCACCACGTCGGGGCCGCGGGTCGTCTTCGTCGTCCTCCTCGCTCGTTGATGAATAATCTTCCTCATCCTGGTCGCCCGATCCGTCCGGCACAGACGACGGCCCGGCTGTCAAATTATAATATTGTGTAGGCTATAGTGGGGTAGCCTATATGGGGTACACATTTCTAGGGTTGCATATTTGTATCACTTCCATTCCTTAGTCATTCATCCTCGTTCACATCTTCTCATGGTATCGAGCACGTTCCCCCGTGGGAACTGTGCCTAGGGCCCACCACATCGACCTTTTTTTTCCTGCCCGAAGCGCGCTCCGCCCGAGTCGCGCTTCGGGCTCTCACCTCGTTAAGCCGCCCTAGCGGCCCTTTCCCCTAGCAGCCCCGCAGCACGTTGCTTCGGCCCCGCCGCCCGTCGCTTCGGACCCGCCGCCCGTCGTCGCAGCCCCGCAGCCCTACCTCGCGGCCCCGCCGCCCTACCTCGCGGCCCGGCCGCCCTACCTAGCGACCCCGCCGCCCTACCTCGCGGCCCCGCTGCCCTACCTCGCGGCCCCGCCGCCTTACCTCGCGGCCTCGCCGCCCTACCTCGCGGCCCCGCCGCCCTACCTCGCGGCCCCGCCGCCCTACCTCGCGGCCCCGTCGCCCTACCTCGCGGCCCCGCCGCCCTACCTCGCGGCCCCGCCGCCCTACCTCGCGGCCCCGCCGCCCTACCTCGCGGCCCCGTCGCCCTACCTCGCGGCCCCGCCGCCCTACCTCGCAGCCCCGCCGCCCTACCTAGCGGCCCCGCCGCCCTACCTCGCGGCCCCGCCGCCCTTTTGCAGCGGCCCCGCCGCCCTACTCAGCGGCCCCGCCGCCCTTCTACAGCGGCCCCGCCGCCCTTCTACAGCGGCCCCGCCGCCCTACTCCTGCGGCCCCGCCGCCCTACTCTTGCGGCCCCGCCGCCCTACTCCGGCGGCCCCGCCGCCCTACTCCTGCGGCCCCGCCGCCCTACTCACGCGGCCCCGCCGCCCTACTCCTACGGCCCCGCCGCCCTACTCCAGCGGCCCTGCCGCCCTACACCGCCCGCGCCGCCCGAGCTGCCAGAACAGCCCGAGCCGCGCGAGCCGCCCGAGCCGCCCGAGCCACCCGAGCGGCCCGAGCCACCCGAGCCGCCCGAGCCGCCCAAGCCGCCCGAGCCGCCCGAGCCGCCTGATCAGCCGAGTCGCCGGTGCCGCGGAGCCGCAGTCGCTACTGAGCCGTATGAGCAGCCGTGTTGCCGTGTTACTGCACTACTGAGCTGCCCGACTTGCCCTGTCCGGTGAGACCAGCGCTTGTGTCACTGCACTGCCCCTGTCCTACAGTTGGTCTCGCTAGTCTACTGCTGTCATGGCTTCACCCAGTGTTCTTGCTTTTGACGCTGAGGGTCGAGCCATTGACTTTGAGGTTTGGGTAGATGACCTGCAGCTCTGCTTACAGTGCGATAGGGCAGACGGTCTCTCCCTCTTTGACCTCACCTCTGGCGCCTCTCTTGCCCCTGCTGCTGATGATGACCCCACTCTTCGCTCCCAGTGGGCCACGCGCGATGCTGCTGCACGTCTTACTGTGCGTCGCCACCTGCCTACCACTGAGCGCGCGCACTTTAGTCTGTACAAGAGTACTCACACCTTATACAACGCTGTAGTTGCGCGCTACTCTTCCCCTGCCACTGCTGCACTGAGCCGCCTCATGCTACCGTACCTCTTTCCTGACCTTGCTGCCTTTCCCACAATTGCTGACCTCATTACGCACCTCCGCACTAGTGACACTCGCTACCGCGCCGCACTTCCTGCTGACTTCTGCGCCAAGAACCCCCCCCCCCATGTACATCACTCTCTATTATATAGTCACTCGCCTCCCTGACTCCCTTCCCGTAGTCAGGGACCACTTCCTCTCAGTTTGTCCCACCGCTCTCACAGTTGACCTCCTAGAGAAGGCTCTCCTAGCAGCGGAGAAGAGCATAGTCGCTGTAGGAGCCTCTCGTGGTGACCCTCGCACCCCCATCTTTGAGGGGTGTTCCCCTTCCCCCTTGTTGCCCTCTGTCGCCTCTGCTGCTGCGGCCGACCTCGTTGGTCTTGAGTCGGTCGGTGCGGCGTCTGCCCCTAGTGGGAGACGTCGCCCTGGCAAGGGCAAGGGGGGCAAGGGCGCAGGTGGAGCTAGCGGGGGTGGTGGAGGTGGCGGTGGAGGCGGCGGAGGGAGTGGGGGTGGCGGTGGGAGTGGTGGCGGGAGTGGAGGTGGTGGTGGCAGCTGCGGAGGCGGAGGCAGCGGAGGCGGCAGCGGTGGGAGCGAAGGCGGCGGTGGTGGCGGAGGTGGAGGCGGCAGTGGCGGAGGAGGTGGAGCTGGGCGAGGTGGTGCTTCGCAGCGGAGCGGTTCTGGTGGTGGTCAGTGCCAGCAGCAGCAGCAGCAGCAACAGCAGCAGCAGCAGCGTTCTCGGGACATCCCCCCACCTCAGCAGCTCCGTGAGTGGTACACGCATCGTCAGCATGGTGGGGTTTTTGGTCCGAGCACCTACGTCCTTCGCTCCGCCGACCGCGCGGATGAGCAGTGTGGGGGTGCCCACCCCACCCAACGCTGCTTTGGCCGCCTGACGGACGCTTGGCGTCAGCAGTTCCCGGAGGCTAGTGAGATCCCCCGCTGGGGAGAGCTGTCTAGGGCAGGTGTCGCTATCTATGATCTTGACTTTGATGCTATCCTTGCTGCCATGTATGCTGTGACTATTAGTGATGAGGGTGACTGTTACCGCTGTTTCCCGCCCGACCCGGGCATTGGTACTGTTGCGCTAGGTGCTAGTGAGGCTGCTGCTCTAACTGCCAGCGCGTCTGCGCCCTCAGGTACTGGTGAGGCTGCGCTCTCAGGTACCGCGTCGGCTTCGGCCTCCCTCACCTTCACACTTGACCAGGGGCTTCTCGCTCCTTCTTTTGAGACCGCACCACACTCACGCCGCTTGGTCGGCCGGTTGCAGTCTCCCTGGCAGACCCCTCTGGGGGTCGTGTCCTCTCTCACTTCTCTACTGTCCTCCCGTGTCCGGCTGCCCCCTCTGGCACCTTGTCTGGTCTTTACCTCCCCTCATTCTCGACGAACTTGGTGAGTGGTGCTGACCTGCAGGATGCTGGGGTTCACCAGTTGACTCCTGCGAGTCAGCGGGGGACCCACTGCTCGGACGCACGCACGGGCCGACACCTTGCCACGTTTTCGCGTCGGTCGGGGTCGAGCCTCTACACCCTGACCCCTGGGTCCTCTCCTCTCCCTGCTTCTGGCCAGGTAGCTGCGTCGGGTCCAGGTCTGGTCCTGAGTCTGCCCCCAGCTCGTGTCGCCTCTTGTCTCACAAGACTCTCCTCTAGCACCACCGTCTTGGCCACCCCTCCCTGCCTCGTCTCCGAGGCATGGCTTCCCGTGTCCTTGTCTCTGGTCTTCCCCGATCCCTCCCTCCCCTTCCTTCGGGGCCTGGTCTTTCCTGTGTCCCCTGTGTCGAGGGGCGGCTCCGGGCTGCCCCTCACTCCTCTCGATTTCCCCCGACAGAGGCCCCGCTGCAGACGCTTCACATGGACGTGTGGGGCCCGGCCCGCGTCCGTGGACAGGGTCACGAGCGCTAATTCCTGCTGGTGGTTGACGACTACTCGCGTTACACCACAGTCTTCCCCTTGCGCAGCAAGGGTGATGTCACTGCGGTGTTGATCGTCTGGATCCGCGCAGCTTGTCTCCAGCTCAGGAGGAGCTTCGGCTCGGACTAACCTGTTCTGCGTCTGCACTCTAACCGAGGCGGAGAGTTTTCCTCTGGCCTTCTGCGAGCCTACTATCATGCGCGAGGCATCCGCCAGACCTTAACGCTTCCGGACTCTCCACAGCAAAATGGGATTGCTGAGCGCCGCATTGGCATGGTCATGGACGTCGCTCGTACGTCCATGATGCATGCGGCTGCCCCCCATTTTCTGTGGCTGTTTGCGGTGAGGTACTCGGTGCATTAGATCAACCTTCACCCCAGGGTTTCCACGCCAGAGACCTCCTCAGCCTTGCTGTGGACGGGGAAGGTCGGCGATGCGTCTGCGTTCCGTGTCTGGGGATCTCGGGCGTTTGTCCGCAACTTGTATGCGGACAAGCTGTCCCTTCGTGCTGCTCCCTGTGTCTTCCTTGGCTTCCCCCCTGACGCACCAGGGTGGCAGTTCTACCACCCCTCCTCTCGTCGTGTTCTGTCCTCCCATGACGTCACGTTTGACAAGTCGGTCCCCTACTACCGTCTCTTCCCCTACCGCACTCCGTCCCCCCCCCCGGCCGCCGCACTTCCTTGTGCCAGGTCCCCCCCCAGGTAGACCCCCTTCCCCCTCAGGGTCCTGCTCCTTCAGGTGTGTCCCAGGTAGACGCAGTCGAGCTGGTCGAGGTTGCTGGTGACTCTGGTACTGCTGCGGGTGCTGAGCCTGGGGGTGCTGACTCTAGGGGTGCTGCGCGCGTGGGTACTGAGCCTGGGGGTGCTGAGTCTGGGGGTGCTGCGATTGGGGGTGCTGAGCCTGGGGGTGCTACGACTGGGGGTGTTGAGCCTGGGGGTACTGCGACTGGGGGTGCTGAGCTCGGGGGTGCTACGACTGGGAGTGCTGAGCCTGGGGGTGCTACGTCAGGAGCTGCTGAGCCTGGGGGTGCTGCGTCTGGAGCTACTGAGCCTGGTGGTGCGGAGGCCGTAGAGGGTCCCTACCTCTCTCAGTGGCAGGCAGCTATGGATGCAGAGATGGCTTCCTAGAAGTCCACAGGCACCTACGTTGACGCGGTTCCTCCTCCTCAAGCGAACATCGTCAGTGGCATGTGGATCTTCAAGGCGAAGCGGCCGCCGGGCTCTCCACCTGTCTTCAAGGCGTGGTACGTGGCTCGTGGCTTCAATCAGCGGCAGGGAGTTGAC